GCCTGCCTCTGGTTGATAAAGGCAGGTTTTGTTTGGTTGAATTGGTGAACCATGAGAGTTACGAGGTTTGTTTGACACACTTTCTGGCAAACTTTGTACAGCAATTATAACTTTCCTTTGATCATTACAAAAAGGGCAATTAAGAAAATAGTAGTCATCTTTACCGAGACAGCTCCAATTGCCCCATATACCTCGATGTATATACATCTCTTTATATATTGGACATTTAGCTTCCGGATCTGTATATTTAAAAACATCTCGGTACCGTGTATTCAATTTAGTATATGACAAGAAAGGGAAGTGTTTATGTATTGTTTCACAGATTATACCTTTCTCTTCTGGAAACTTAGAAATTTTGATGATACAGTCTCGTGAAAGATGATTGCCGGCATCCTTTTCGATTTGTGGGGATTCAGACTTTATCCAAGGATCCAGTCCAGTCTCTTCCGTGTATGCTCTATATAATCTAGAACAAATTTTTTCTGTTTGAAAACTTGGTAAATCAACTAAATTAGCATGCTATTTGCAATAGTTATCAGTTATTATCTTGCTGGAGGTAGAATCAGAAAACATGTTATCATTTTATATTAATGCAACTTAATTCAAAATTACATAACTGCCAGACACAGAGTGTCCTGCTCCACAAAGAAAAAAATATCACTATCCACTTGACCAGATTTATGTAATTATTTACTTACGCAGTTATTTTAATTTCTTGTTGTCCACATTTAATAAAATAAGATCCAGCTTTATATCTACCTCTTATACTTTTCTCATCTCTATGACTCGACTTGCATGCTAGACATAATGACTTGTCAATAATTCCATAATAATTGAATTTTTCACTACTAAATTCTCTATGTATATCAGGATATCGATCTAATATTTTATTACAAAAATAAGCGTGGTTATGAGCTGAGTTAGATGAAGCGCTTACCTCTGCATTAGTCTGATCGTTCCCTGAGGGAACGGTTTTTAAAGTCACTTGATTTATAATATTTTGGATCTGGACATTAGTCAGTTTTGAAATCTCATTCGCACTATAAGTGACTTGCTTAATTTTATCTATTCCAACTCCATCTTTTCCAAATAACATAAGAAGCTTTCTAGTCTCAGAGTTTTTTTGCATAAGTTATCTTGTGTGATACTAGGAAGAAAAGGTTTCATTTCTTTGTAAATCATTGTTCTGGCCGTTTTATCTTTTATTTTACCATTGGCTGTAATATCATGAACCTTATTTTTGAATTCAAGAAAATAATAATACCAGTTTAAGATTTCCTGTTGTTTTGACTTAATTGCTGTTTTAAATAAATGAGACAAATGTTGGCCAGAATTTCCAAAGGAAACAATATTCGATTCCTCTGAAAACATATTCCCTGATTTGTCGCCAGAGTTACCAATTTTGATAGAGCTGTCGTTTTCTTTAGTAGGTAAATGCAATTCTTGTATTAAACCTTGTTCAACAATTTGGTTTTTATCAATTTCATCGTCCTGTTCTAATTCAGACACTTCAGTTTGCAACGAAGGTGACTCTGTTAAAATCACATGACTTTGATCATTCTCTGAGGGAACGGTTTTTGTATTATGATTAACTTGGGGTCGTGACCCCATATCTCTGGATATAATTTCATGAAATTGCAATAAGTCTTGGACTTGTTTTCCAGCCGATTCGCGCTGAAGCTTTTTTTCTCTGATTCTATCTTTTATCTCGTTACTAACCTGTTCCTTATATATTGAATCCAGAAATTCATTTTCTTCTTTCTCTTCCAATGATATGGTTTTCGCAGGGGTAGGAGATGTGGAGGTCTCTAATTCCTGTTGTGTATCAGAATTGCCGGAGGTAGTCACTTTGTGGCTAGATGTGTTAGACTCCTCATTACATGAGATTATCTGTTCATGAGTATCGTTAGAATTTAAAATTTTATCAATTATATCAGATGATGGATTATCAGGAGTATCGTTGGAATTTACTAGAGATTGCAAAGCATCTTTTGTAGAAATACCTTTTTCTCCCTGTTCTAATATAGCGAGTCTGGTATCAAGCTCTACATTCTTTTGCTCTAGCTCCTCAACTCTAGCATCACACTTTGTATTCTCTTCTATAATCTGCTTTAACTTTATATTCTCAGCTTCAACCTTAGCATACTTCTTTCTAAGTTCGGTAATCTCGAGTGTAAGTTTAGAATTTAATTCTCTTAGCAAAGCAATTGTAGTTTGTGAATCTGCCATTGTTTTACATAAAATATGAATATATTCAAATAAAAACATTTTGTTCATTCCAATTTTTAAAAATTCTCGATCATATGTAGGTTAGTATACATCGGTAAGAATACATATGAAATCAGCCTGCTTTACTTGTACAGCAAAAAACAAACATTCTCATCTAGAAAATATCAAAAAAATTTGATCTACTTCTGCTAAACAATTTTTGCGGTAGTGTTTTATTTTTTACTAGAAAGATTTTCGATCATATGTAGCATCGATATCAAAACATCGAATAAAATTCGAAGTATACATTCAAAAGTAAAAACGGTCATATTTACCGATGCAATAAAATCTCGAAATACACAAGCAAAAGTAAAAGCGATTATATAGGTGAAATTTGAAATATTCCGTCACACCAAGCACATGCTAAATACAAAGCCCGAAATATGGGCAGGCTTCAGTTTTTCGAACACAAAAATACAATATATTACAATAAGAACCCAAGGCACCTGGTGAAATAATTATTCTATTATTAATATGCTAATTTTATTTTTCTAACCCTGCTTAGTTAATAAAGTTCAATAATTTTACTACAGATTTAAGTTGGCCCAAATACGTTATGCAGTTTCGATCCTTTCTAGCCAATCATCATTTGGAAACCACTAAAATTTTAAACTTTGTTAAGATTATTGCAGACAAACAAAAAAAACAAATATATATTAATCGGCTATAAATAATTACCTCTCTAAACATATCTTTTGCCCGATCGAGAGCAACTGAAGCAGTTGGTCGATTATCTGGAATACTATTACACAAATCTATGCTGAAGTTTAAAAGTTCATGAGGAATGCCTGTGACATTACACAAATTAACTAAATTTCCAACGCCCCATATATCAACCTTAAAATCATGCTTTTTAATTAGCATTTCAGGAGCATGATCACTTTCAGAAAATTCTTCTGAAGGTCCATCAGAAGGGGAAAAGCCAGCATAGTCAAAGTCAATTAAAATAAATCTTTGATATCCGTCGTAATGGCGAATAATATTTGGCCATCGAACATCTCTGTGCATTATCGGTTTGGGCTTAATTTCATGCATACCCTGCTTGAACATTATAAAAATGTATAAATATAATATGTATACGT